TCTTCAACATGCTTACTGGGATTGTTGATTGCCTTGATATCCTACGGAGAATTCCTCTCAATGTTCCGCGAAGAAATTTGCGGCACATGGATATTTTTTATTTGCATTCCTCCAAGTCAACGTATGCTATGAATGCACCGATTTGTCGTGCCCTTAGAGAGATTAATAAACTCAATGATATCGAGGATATTGATATATCGCTTCCTGGAGTGGTGTTAAAAAGTTAATCTTAAAACTACTCTGATCTTATAATATAACCTAGTATCAGTAAGAATGTTGTTTTCTTTGACCGAATTAAATAAATAAATAAATAAATAAAATAAAAAAATGGGTATATTTTTTCGGTATAGAACAATCCTAGCGGGAGAGAGCATAAAAATTCCGACTTTACTTTTTCACGTGCATTTTTGGACCACCCTAATATACAATCGCCATTTATTAGTGAGTGCTTGGAAATCGCGGCTGCTGTGGCTGAGTGGTTAAAGATACGCACTACCACTCCCTTGGACCTGGGTTCGATGGCTGCATCGAACAATATCTGAATTGGAAGAAGTTTTTCTAATGGCGCACAGTATTATTGTTAATTTTGAAAAAAATCGAGACAAGATCAGATATCACCAGAACAAGAGAAAATAGAAAAATAAGTGTAGTGGTGTTTTATAGGTCTCGTTGGATAAAAAATTACCTTGACCTTTAAAATTACCTTCAAATATAGAAGGTTTTAAATATTTGTTATTTTTGGTCAGAAAAAGTTTTTAGAAGTTTTTAGATTCGTATTGTTTGCTGTTCTTTTGTCAAGGAATCTATTCTCATGGTTACAAAAATCAAAAAACGATTTTGTTTTGCTAAAAAGAAAAAAATCGAAGATTCCTCTATTGAAGGTCGGTTTTAAAGTGAAGCAAATTTTTTGTTTATTTAGATCTTTAAAATGTCCTTCAAAAGTTTTTTTTTTTTACTTAAATGAATTAAACAAAAATATATGACATGCATTTTTTGGTTTTTGCAACCATGGCAATGGATTCCTTGTCGAAAAAGCAGCAAATATATTATTTTAAAACTTTTAAAGAGTTAACTGCATACTATTTTGAGGGCAAAAAAGAAAAAATTTAAAACCTATATTTTTAGGGTCAAGGTAAAACTTATCAATACAATTTTTGTTACTGTTATACTGCGGTATTCAAACTGTTTGTGTATGCAGAGTTGCGAAACATTGCATCATACACATTGCGTATTTTAATTTAGCAATGAACAGTTTTTCTGTATTTTCCATTTTAACAACACCAATCTGAGCCAAAAACGAGATAAGCATCAACTTTGTTAGTGATGCGCTGATTAATCTAGCGATACGTTTTAATAACTTTTTGGATGCGTTTTGGAAAAGTATACATTGTCAATATTTTGTAGTTCGGCGTTATGGAACATTATATTTTTACGTATGCAAAGCAATTGCCGTTTTGGAAGTCAGCCTATTTCATCCATCTCAAAAAATTTTAAATTCCATTACATTTCTTCGCTTCCTCTTCTCGTTTTCGAGATATTTGATTTTGTCCCTTTTATTACTAAAATAGAACACTGTGCGGCGGTCGCCTCTTGTCAGTAGTACATATCATACTTCTACATTACAAATTTAGTTTATAACCAATAGCAATTATGGCTTCATTTTATGAACCAGTTACGTAGAACAACACAAGACGCTTGCCAGCCACCAAAGTCAATTAAAAGTGAAAGTCATTAAAATTTGAGTCAAGTGACTTTATCTTTCCTTTAATTAACAAGAAATCAAAACTGCTCTAAACCGCTGAAATTAAAAGTTATGAATTATGAATCACCATCAGCGCAAAGATGTACAAAAATACATCCACAAAGCGGTTTAAATATCTACTGGACAATCATTGCGCCAAGCCGCAGCTGCTGATTATTCCAGTGGTATTGCCTGCGGAGTAAAGTAGAAATGTTGCCACCTAAATACTATAAAACACACTGCAGCAGTAGACAGTAGCGAAGCAGCATCATCAAATGAAACTGCCCTTACGCATTCATTTTTGTCAAACACATTGGCAGTCACGCGAATTATTGCCACTGAACTTTTGTAAGTAAAAGTTTAGGCTGATTCGAAATACGCGTTGTTGTTTTAAAAAATTCAATTTAACATTGCCAAATATATGTATGTATGTACTAGTCATTCTGTAAACAAAAAAAAAACAAATAATAATATAATATCCACCAATGTAGAAGAGTAGATGACCACAAGTAAATGCACGCCAATATTGCCTACAGCAAAGCACCGAATACGTATTTAAAACTTTACTAATAAAACTAAAAGTGATTCCAATTATTACTTATTTTAATGCCAAAAACTTTTCAACTTTGAGACAATGGAAATTTTAACAACAGACAGAGTTCCGTTGTAACAAAAGTAAATACAAACTTCATACTAAATATACATATGTATGTGTATTCAGCCTAAGCTTGATTGGTTGCTCATCCTCATGTAGCATTTACATATTCGTAGAGTTGTATTAAACAGCTACAAAACTTTAAAAATTTTCCCTTTTTGCTGTGATGAACTGCCAGTAGTGAGAATAACTACTACTTAAAACATTGAGCTTAATAGCAGCAGCAGCAGCGTACTCAAGTGGCGGCAAACTTCGAACTGATAAGTGCCTATCTGTTTTGATATTAATAACAAACTTTAAGTCATAATAAAGTTCCATTATTCAAGAGCCCAATAAAAATATAAAACTATGAGATCCAATTAATGATTTTTTTCCCGGGATGAGTGTGTTAAAACAACAAATTTTTTCATGTCTTTAACACAGTGCAATATAGTGTACTAAATTACTAGATATTGATGTTGCCACTTTCTTTGGCAATTGATATAAAAAAGAAAATTAACTCTCGAGTAGGCACGTAACAAATTTGTTAAATATATTCATGTATGCATATCGTAGCGCTATGGGGAATATGACAAATTTTTTGGTAAGAAATAATTAGGTAGAATCATATTGATACTTTTTTAAAAAGTTAAAAATCCCAAAATAGTCCTATTTTTATAATGGTTTCTAAATATCTATTTGGTTGTTTGTGTTTCCGACAGGGTAGGAGTATGATGTATTGTGGAACCATTTTCCGTCATCCCTAACACTGAAGATGGCACAACGCCGAAACCGGTTTGTCTCCAAACCAAATTTGACAAGGGATGACGGAAAATCGTTCCATAAAACATCGTTTCTAAATATCTCTAAGCTGGATTGCATTTAAATATGGTAAAGCAACTATCTGGAAGTATTTTACAGAAAAAATTAACTAAGTATAGCGTTGTTTGTAGTACATGGAACAAATGAAAATACCCGATTTTTTTTAAGTTAAAAGAATATAAACATTTCAAAAATGATGACACTATTATAGACGAGACTTCGTTCTTATAGTCAACCCCTAAGCAACCTCCTTATTAAGTTTACCGTGGTACTTATTGGACAATCTGTATATTTTTTCCAGTATGTTTACAACAAAATCCCATACATCGTACATTTAACACTAGAACGACCAGATCCTTTCACCTATCTAGAAAGCCCGTTGTGCCAAAACTGGCACGCTATATTTTAAATGTGATTGAGGCTGAAATGCCTGTTCGTTTTCAAAATTTGGTTCATTAGGATCAGAGCCTGAACCTTCAGAATAATCTTCCGCAGTATCTATTGCTCAAAATATATAAAATTTGGATTGGAGTGGAAGTCGTCCTTTCACAGTTCACGAAGTAACACAATATTTTCACTGTTCTGTTCTAAAAGCGTGAGGAACAATTAAAAAAAAAATATTTATTATATATGAATGGAAAATATTGCTTATGATTTGTTCGCTACTTCACTGATGTTCTCATCACGTGGTACCTGCAACAAACCACAAATTCACACATTATGTACTGTACTGTGTGTCAAAATAGGCACTGTGGGAGTTTAAGATACACGTGTGTTAAATGTTAAAGAAATTGTTAAAGGAAGCCAGCTTTTAAAAAGTATGAATCTTTTATGACTGCCAAAAATGGAACGAATGATGAAAAGTCACGAAATTTCTAAAACCCACTTGCAAAAATTTTGCATTTATTGTACATTCAACATTAAAATTGCGTCAAATTTGGCACACTAGGCATTCTAGTAACTAAGTAAACATTTTTTTAACAAGTTTCCCGCCATGTCGATGATTTAGCTTATACATATATAAAATATTTATAAAAGAATTGTCAAAAATCTCAGGTTTTCGCAAATTTCGTTTTAATACTTTGATATGAAAAATAGTAATAAATTTAGTAGCGCGTATTTATTTATTTTTTTCCATCGTTTGAAATTTTGCATTGTTACAATGCAGCAGACTACAATGTTCGAAAAAATCGTTGCAACAAAATCGCATAAATAATTGGGTTTGGATTCAATCCGTAGAATAACGAAGCCAACTGGAATTCTGCATCGGAACGTCATAGCAGAAAAACTACTACTAATTGATTAAAAAACCCGGGGATGAAAATCTTCATTAGTTTTGGCCCTACATTTTTTAAGTGACTTTGGATTTGTAATACTGGAAATATTCCTTTTTACAGTAAGCATTAATGGATTTTTGAGTTTCAGTGGTCACCAGCATTTTCAAAGTTCTTCGCACTGACATTTTTAGTCGGACTTGTTTTCTTTAAAATACTAATCTCTCTCTTTTCATCTTCGCAAAACTATTTATTACTCGTATCACCATTAAGGGTGCCTTTGAATTTTTCGCGATTCTCTGCAGCAGGTGTTGGTACAATAAAAAATAGATTTTCAGTATTTAAACTCTTTAACAAAGGTACTTTTAGATGTCATCCCTTAGGTGGATTCGATAATCGAAGAAGTAGTACTTAAATGCATCATCCGGAACAATTATTCATGTCTAATTCTCAGAATGAATAATTATTATTGAATATTAAGTTGTCCTAGGGAACCCCCTTCCCTTCCCTTTGTTTCACGTATACTGACCTATAACGGTGACTTCGCCACTACGACGCGCACTATGCCCCTGTTTGTTGCGTGCCCAGCATGTGTATACGCCCGAGTCGGTATTCTTTTGCACCGGATTGATGGTCAATGAGCCATCCGGTTGAACACGTTGTCGGATATCATCAGGCAATTCGCGACCGCTTCGCTCCCAGTGTATTTCCTCTATGGGATATCCAGCAACAGGACACTTCAAGTTTAGGGTTTCACCAGACACGGCAGTGACTTTCGGTATTAAGCGTATGTAGGGAAGGCCTGAAATTAGAAAACAAAGAGAAATAAATGAGGGTAATACTTAATTTAGTGAAAATTACTCCATTGGGCAATTAAATATTTATGTATGCAAGAAAATTTAAAAATAAGTTTTAACCACAAAAATTATTTAATTTAAATTTTTCAATTCTTTTAGGACTTCTTGGGAATTTCCTGAACCTTTTTCTTTAGGGTAGTTTCGGGATTGTTTCTGTTTTTAGATCTTTTGTGGCTTTCCCAGACTTTTCGAGATGTTTTCAGAAGTTTTCGAGTTCTCCGTTTTTGCTTTTCAGCATTGTTCGCGTCTGAATTTTCATTGATTTTGGAAGTTCTTTATGAATTTTAAAATTTGAAAACATTGTTTTTCAGGAATTTCGGTGCTTTCAAGTCCTAAGTAGTTTCAAACCTATACTTCATTATTTTAGCTTTTTTTGAATGCCTAAAAAACTTAACGCGCATTTAGTTATTTTTTACCGATAAAATCAATAAAGTAGTATGTATCTAAGCATTTTGCTTGCTCAAAGTCTAGGAATTACAAAATTGTTGCTCGATAGTATAAAATGCATGACTAGCACTGCCTTCGTTTTATTCATGGAAAAGCAATTAAAGCTATGTATATATGAACTTTTGTTACTATGTATATAAACTATACTGGTACCAATTATCCATTTATTCACTCTTTTTCAGCGAGCTCTCCTTTAACCTAAACTTTAGGCTGTACTGTTTTTCAGGCTTTCGTTGAGGACACAATCGGTTGGCTGTTCAATTGTGCGACATCGCCAATGGATAGCCAAGCGGCAACCATAGCTTTGGCGCTGCTCATTATGTACCCGGGATAATACCTGACCTATATTTCAGTTGCACTTGATTATATTCTAGTCAGACTTGTATGGGTTGAGTTGCGGATGAGTTGGTCAGGAAAGGTACTCTCGAGTCTATTTGACCGAGAAAAGGGAGATTTGGTATAGCTTTGACTCTACGCCCACTTATCTTGGACAGATGTCATGTTCGCTGAACAAATGCCGGGTGAAAACAAAGAAAACTAGGCGGGTTTTATCTGCGAAATTGGAATTCGTCAAGAAATCGTCTTTGGCTCGCAAAGCCCAAGCAAAGCCGAAGCTTTCAATGTAATAGCAGGACAGTAAACGATAAGTATTCCTGCGGTTATACTAAATATCGCATTGGATTCTCACTGGCCCAGCTACTTAGAGGGTCAAAACTTCTCTTAAATACCTTGCCATATTTTTTGTGGCTAAAATAAATAAAATAAAATAAAAACTTTTTAATATACAACGCTTTTATAAATGGACTAAAAAGTAGAAAATAATATTTCTCAGTCCCACAGCATTTGTTTTGATAACTTTTGGTTTTGATTTTGAAATTTTAGCAAAAGTCATTATAAACAATTAATGACATTGAAAATGAAAAGCATGGGCGTGCATAGGCCTGATTTGAAATTGGAGAGTAATATATGTATGTATGTATGTGGGCATATGAATAACGATGGCTTAAAATCGATCTCAAATTTGTACTTTCGCTGTAGAATGTTATGTAGTTTGACTATTGTCAATGAAATCGAATGCTTTGTACTGCATGCGCTCCACGTTTTTCGTTTTCAATCTCATAAATTGTTTATAATGACTTTTGCTAAAATTTCAAAATCGAAAGTTATCAAAACAAATCCTGTGGGACTGAGAAATATTATTTTCTACTTTTTAGTCCATTTATAAAAGTGTTGTATATTAAAATTTTATTTTTATTTTTATTTTTATTTTTTTTAATTGATATTCTCTGAACGTAGACAGCATGCATAGTGGGAGGTGCTACGACTTCCTGTAAGGTCATTCCGTTCAGCTGTCTGTTTGTAATGGGTCCAAGGTTATGTTTCTCTGAACGTACTCCATCTATTGGAGGTGTCACGCCCCTGGCAAACACTCACTCTCTTTCAGTTTACTATAAACGCCACGCCTTCTTGTACGAACCCATTTGTATACATTTAGCAAATGTGAGATTTAAGGGCTGTGGAATGTGCCGTGGCCCCTTATATAAACTCACTAAAGTTTACATTGCTGTAAGCACCTACCTTAGTTATGTCCTCACACCAAATTTCAAAGTCATGTGACTTACGGTTTCGAAATTATAGCTGATTAAAAATGTCACGCCTATGGGAGGTGCCACGCCCTCTTGTCAGACCTCATTTTTTTATATCCTAGGTTACGTCCGAGGTCTCTTTCTATATACCAGCTAAAGCCCCATGAAAATCCATTTAGTAGTTCCAGAGATTAGTGAGTTCAAACAGACAAACAAAATATTTCTACCGCTAGACTTTGTTGCTTTTTCAATTTTTCCTAATAAACAATCGTGGTACAAAGCTCAATAAAATGATTAAAAATAAAATGTTAAGAAGCCACAATAACATTGACAAAATACAGTTTTATTATAGTAATATAGAAGACAGATAGTCGGCCGCTGTGGTGTAGTGGTACACAGTGCGCGCTTTCACTCATCAGCACCTGGGTTCAAGCCCCGGGTCTAAGCAGCATCAGAAAAAAATATAGAAAAAGGTTTTTTCTTAACAGCGGTCGTCCCTCGGCAGGCAATGGCAAACCTCCGAGTGTATTTCTGCCATGAAAAACAGCTTCTCATAAAATTACAATCGCCGTTCGGAGTCGGCGTAAAACTGTACACTGAGGGAAATAGTGCATAGTAAAAATGAATACTTTATATTTGATTGTCGTTTAAAAATGTTCGTATTTAAAAATAATATTTTTATACAAAATTTATTACGCACGTATTTGACTGTTCACATCTGAGTATGTATAAGTAAGTGTACATACGCACCCCATACATGCAGAGCGCCGCTCTGAGAGCGGCTACAACACACACATAGTACAAATCGCGTGCTGTGGAGTTGATGGATATTCAACATTTGAAAGCAAATTTATATGTATGGGTGTAGCTGAGTGCGCAAAGATCCCTGCAGCAAATCAAATTGGTTCAGAACTTGCGCTGAGCTAGCCTCAAAAGGGACGGTACTGGTTCTTCATCTATCCCAACTCAATGCTTTCAACTGTCTTTTTAAACATGGCGATGTCCTACGAAGTGACAATTGTCGCCCTCTGCAGAACTTTTGAACTCGTTCTGAGCTGACTCTGGCTTAGATGGTTCTGAGACAGTTCAGATAACAACAGTTCCTAGATAGTTCAAAAAAGGTGACCTCCGGACTAGAAAAAATTAGGTTAGTTCTGAGCTGGTTCTAAGAAGTATAGTATAGGGATTGCCTTTAAATAAGCACGCATACAATTTTGAAAATAAAAAGTACTTCATTTTATGTTTAGAGGGCTATTTGATTTGCACTAATTTACTTTTTTAAGAAAACTGTGCTTAAAAATTTAGAACATAAAGTGTCAATTATTCCTTCATTTTCTAAAACCGTTATTCTTAAAAATAATTTATATTTGTTACGTATAATGGGTATTTCTGGGATACTTATAATTTAAAATCTAAAAAATGCTTATTTGTGATAACTCAGCGTTAAATTGTATTAAATATATTGAAATGTAATACATAGACTCCCCGGCATCTAATAAGAACATATAGAATTTTAAATATTCACAATGGTTTTCATGCTAAATATTTTTTGTAAATTTTTTTATATAAAGATGGCTCATAAGTATTATAACATAAACATATCAATTCACATTTAAAATTTTGTTGGAAATTTAGTAGAATTCTAGAAACTGTTATAAAAACTTCAATATTTTAAGTCAGAGTTTACAAGTATGCAGTTCTATAGCCCATTAAATTTTCGTATAATTAATCGCGCTGATTTTATATAACTCTTTTTACGCACGCTCTTGAAGGTATTCTCCTATTTAAATATTTTCGTTTAAGATGCAACATTACATTTTACTACAGTAAAACTTGATGGGCTACAAAACAGAATACTCGAAATATTTATAATAAAAAATCTCTGATTAAAAAGTTTAAAATTTGAAGACAGTTTTTAAAGTTCTATCAAATTTGCAGCACAGTTAGGAATTTTAATTGAAATGGTTTATGAAGTATGACAAATAGTACTTAAATAAAACCTTAACGAAAAATATTTAAAATGAAAAACCTTCGAAATTAAAAAAAAAATTCACTGCGTAACTACCCATTTCGGGTGCTCAGATATATCGTATCGTTCATAACAATAGCACCCCCATTTCAAAGAGAGATTTAATCTGATTAAAAGGTCAAATATTTTGATGAAAAATCATTAAATTTAACTTTGTTTTGCATATAGTTTTAAAACACGGTTTTTATCATTTTGTTTTAAGCATGATAATTTGTTTTTATAAAATAATAACAAACAAATTTTAACCCTAATATGTTTAGAATAATTAAAAAAAAGAAATGGTGTACGCGGACCTTTGCTGTTAAGTGTAGCTTAACTAAATTTTATATTTTGCATTTAATTTTATACTTACGTAGATATGTATAAAAATTACATTAATGTTACCAATAACGACTTTTTTGGAAATATTTTAGCAGTTGCTCCATAAACTATGTAACGAATAACATATAGAATAAACGAAAACAGTTGTTGTTAGTTAGAAAAAATATAGTATATTACATTTGTGCATCTTTTGTCAGCTTTCACATGACCAGGATGAGTAATATGGATGACAGCGCAACTAGCAACATATGAGTTTCAACCGTCCAGCTCTGCATCCCTTTTGCAGTAGTTCAGAGACAGTTCTAAAATTTGTAGGGCGGAACTAGCGCTTTGCCAGACTGTCCCTAAATTTTGCTGCAGGGATGCTTGTCACAAGTTGTTGATATCCGAAGATGGTCTGGTTCGAATTCAACCACTGGCAACATGCAAATTAAATTTTTTTTTTAGTTTTTGTCTTGAGATTATTCACTTCGCGGATGCTTTTTCAGTATGAACGCGGTCATTTCAATATGCGCGTAATTGAATTGAATATTTACCAATATACAGTACTTTCGTTGACGTT